ATCCGAACCTGTCTCTTGACGAGGTCGGTGTTCCAAGAAGTATTGCTCGAACTCTGACCTACCCCGAAGTTGTCACTCCATACAACATCGAGAAGCTGCAGCAGCTTGTCGCTAATGGCCCCAACGAACATCCTGGAGCAAGGTATATCGTGCGGGACAATGGTGAGCGTATTGACTTACGCCATGCTCGAAGAGCTGGAGGTCAACAACTGCTGTATGGCTGGAAAGTCGAGCGGCATCTTATGGATGGCGATATCATTCTGTTCAATCGTCAACCTTCTCTTCACAAGGAGTCTATGATGGGTCATCGTGTCCGTGTTATGCCGTATTCGACTTTCCGACTGAATCTGTCTGTCACAACCCCTTACAACGCTGATTTCGACGGTGATGAGATGAACTTGCACGTGCCTCAGAGCGAGGAGTCTCGCGCAGAGTTGAAGCAGCTCGCCTTGGTCCCTTTGAATATCGTGTCTCCCCAGCGTAACGGTCCCCTTATGGGTATTGTGCAAGATACTCTGTGCGGTATTTACAAGATTTGCCGACGTGATGTCTTCTTGACCAAAGAACAGGTCATGAACATTATGTTGTGGGTTCCAGATTGGGATGGAATTATTCCTCCACCGGCCATCTTGAAGCCTAGACCTAGGTGGACTGGAAAGCAGATGATAAGCATGGCTCTTCCATCTGGGCTCAATTTGTTGCGTGTGGAGAAAGATAACTCTAGTCTGGCGGAGAAGTTCTCGCCTTTGACAGACGGTGGCCTGCTTATCCACGGCGGACAGTTGATGTATGGGATGTTCTCCAAGAAGACTGTTGGTGCTAGCGGTGGTGGTGTCATTCACACAATCTTCAATGAGTATGGGCCGGATACTGCGGTGGCTTTCTTCAATGGTGCCCAAACCATTGTCAACTACTGGCTGCTGCACAATGGTTTCAGTATAGGCATTGGTGACACCATTCCGGACGCGATCACGATTCAGCGAATCGAGAATTGTGTGCGAGAGAGGAAGAAGGAAGTCGAGACTATCACGGCAAGCGCCACGGAGAATACCCTGGAGCCCCTGCCTGGTATGAACGTTCGAGAGACCTTTGAGAGCAAGGTCTCGCGTGCGCTCAACAATGCCCGTGACGAAGCTGGTAGTGAGACTGAGAAGAGTTTGAAGGATCTCAACAACGCCATCCAGATGGCCCGGTCTGGATCTAAGGGTTCGACGATCAATATCTCTCAGATGACTGCTGTTGTGGGCCAGCAGTCCGTCGAAGGCAAGCGTATTCCCTTCGGATTCAAATATCGAACTCTTCCCCATTTCACCAAGGATGACTACTCTCCGGAATCTCGCGGATTTGTGGAAAACTCTTATCTGCGTGGTCTAACCCCAACCGAATTCTTCTTCCATGCCATGGCCGGTCGAGAAGGTCTGATCGATACTGCTGTCAAGACTGCCGAAACTGGTTACATTCAGCGAAAGCTGGTTAAGGCCTTGGAAGAAGTCATGGTTAAGTATGATGGTACTGTCAGAAACTCTCTGGGTGATGTGATACAATTCATTTACGGAGAAGACGGTCTTGATGGTGCCCACATCGAAAACCAGCGCGTCGACATTATCAGATGCTCTGATGAGAAGTTCAGGGAGCGATTCCGTGTGGATCTCATGGATCCCGAGAGGAGCCTGGGACCTGAAGTTTTGGAACAGGCCAATGAAATCGCTGGTGATGTTGAAGTCCAGAGATATCTCGATGAGGAATGGGAGGAATTGCTCAAAGATCGGGCATTCCTTCGTACTGTCGTGAAAGAAGATGATGAGATGATGCAGCTTCCCATCAACGTGCAGAGAATTCTTGAAACTGCCAGGAGCACTTTCCGGATACGCGAAGGGGCCATCAGCGACTTGCATCCTGCTGAAGTCATCCCTCAAGTCCGCTCTCTACTGGACCGTCTGTTAGTTGTGCGTGGCGACGATCCGATCTCGCGCGAGGCGCAGGAGAATGCTACACTGTTGTTCAAGGCACAGCTCCGCAGTCGCCTTGCATTCCGCAGACTTGTCACCGAGTACTCGATGAACAAGCTCGCCTTCCAGCATGTCATCGGTGCTATCGAGAGCAGATTTGCTAAGGCTGGTGCTAACCCAGGTGAAATGGTTGGTGTGCTTGCCGCTCAGTCTATTGGTGAGCCCGCTACACAGATGACCTTGAACACTTTCCACTTTGCTGGTGTCTCGTCGAAGAACGTCACCCTTGGTGTTCCTCGTCTCAAGGAAATTCTCAACGTTGCTACCAACATCAAGACGCCATCTATGACGGTTTACCAGTTGCCCCACAAATGCCACGATAAGGAGTCTGCTAAACAGTTGCGAAGCGTTGTTGAGCATACTAGCCTGAGATCCGTTACAGAAGCCACTGAGATCTACTACGACCCGGACATCCAGACCACGGTCATTGAAAATGATAGGGATATGGTCGAGTCCTACTTCATCATTCCGGAGGATGTCACAGACGCCTCTTCTCGACAGTCCAAGTGGTTGCTTCGTATCATTCTCAGTCGGCCAAAGCTCCTTGATAAGGGTCTTACAGTGCAGGATGTCGCTGCCAGGATCAAGCAGGCTTACCCCAAGGATATCGCGGTTATTTTCAGTGATAACAACGCTGATGAACAGGTCATCCGTATTCGTCAGATCCAGGATTACAAGGAAGACGAGGATGATGAGGACATTGAATACGATGTCACGCTCAAGAAATTGGAGCAGCATCTTCTGGATACTCTCACTCTCCGTGGTGTCCAAGGGGTGGAACGGGCTTTCATTAACGAGAAGAGCAAAGTCCGTGTTCTTGAGGATGGCAGCCTGTTTGCGAGCAAAACTGATCCGCTCTGCAAGGAGTGGGTTCTCGAAACAAGTGGTTCTTCCCTTGGTGAGGTCCTGGCTGTCCCTGGAGTTGACGCTACTCGCACGTACTCGAACCAGTTTATCGAGGTCTTTGAAGTCTTTGGTATTGAAGCTGCCCGTACGGCTGTGCTTCGGGAATTGACCCAAGTGCTTGCCTTCGACGGTTCCTATGTCAACCACCGGCATCTGGCGCTCCTGGTCGACGTCATGACGGTGCGAGGTTATCTGACACCGGTCACTCGCCACGGTATCAATCGTGCTGACAATGGTGCCCTGATGCGGTGTTCCTTCGAAGAAACGGTGGAGATTTTGCTGGAAGCTGCAGCCTTCGGAGAACTCGACGACTGCCGCGGTGTGTCGGAGAACCTGATCCTGGGACAGATGGCCCCGGCTGGTACAGGAGAGTTTGACCTCTACCTTGATCAGAATCTCCTCAATACTGTTGTGTCGAACAATGCACGATTCGGAGTTATGGGAACCATTGGGGCCAAGGATGCAATTATTTCCGATGGCGCTGCCACACAGTACGATACTGGTTCGCCCATGCAGGAAAGTGCGTACATCGGTACACCCGACCCAGAGTCTGCGTTCTCGCCCATTCGCCAGGCGGGTGCCGAGTCTCCTGGCGGCTTCACCGAGTACCAACCTACGGGTGGCTTTGGAGGCGGTTTCAGCCCCGCTGCTACAAGCCCGGCAGGTTATTCACCCAGCAGCCCATTCAGCGCCAATCCAACGTCTCCTGGCTATTCCCCAACTTCAAGCTATTCACCTACGTCTCCTGGCATGGGCATCACCAGCCCTCGTTTCATGACGTCCCCTGGCTTCTCTCCTGCCAGCCCATCGTTCGCTCCGACCTCGCCCGCATATTCACCAACGTCGCCGGCATATGGACAGGCATCCCCGACGTCTCCGTCCTACTCTCCCACATCGCCAGGATTCTCACCAACATCGCCCAACTACAGCCCTACGTCCCCCAGTTTCAGCCCAGCTTCTCCTGCGTTCAGCCCTACGTCGCCTAGCTATAGCCCGACCAGTCCTGCTATTGGTGGCGCCGGTCGACACCTATCTCCTACCTCACCTACATCTCCCAAGTACACGCCTACTTCTCCTGGCTGGTCTCCTACGAGCCCGCAGACGTACTCACCTACGTCGCCTAACTTTGCTGGATCGCCGACGTCTCCGGGAGGTCCGACCTCCCCTGGATACAGTCCTACGTCCCCGGCTTTCAGCCCTTCGTATGTACCCTCGTCTTCAGCTTGATTGATACGTGCGCATTTGACTAACATTCTTGTTCAGGTCTCCTCGCCAGTGAGATTAGCAAGTGCTTCGGCTACTTCTTTATGGTTTCCGTTCTATTCCTGTAACATCATCCATTCTATCGAACAATCCATAAAAAAGAACACATTTTGCATCTGATGTCGCGGACTTGGTTGGTTTTTTCATCCTCAATATGGGCGCCAGCAGCCTTTCTCAAATGTATGCCTTTTTTGACGTTTCAGCCTGATTGCTTTTTCTCTTCAATAATTTGAGCCACCCTGCTGAAATTGTGATACATTCTTCTGGGCTGGCGATGCATGTTGTTCTCATTCGTTGCGCTCCCACTTCCATTCGGACCTTCGAAATACCACGGGCTTTAGAACTGAATGGTTTGCGGATCATCGTCTTGAGTTGGCGAGTGCTTTGGTCCCCTCAAGGACGTTGTTAATGATTGTATTACTGCCACTGCTTGTTCTTTTCATGTACACAGCCTAGCCTAAAACGGATTAAAGAAGGAATGGATAAATAAAGGGAATATTATTCTTAAAAGGAAGACATTATTCAGCAATTGTAGGAAATTTGTCGCAGAACATGATTATTCTTGTGATAAGATGAACATAGTTGCAGGAATGACATGTGTGATGATAGCATGTCTGTCCATCGGCAAAATGAAGCTCCGCAACGCCAGGTGGCCCGTTCCCGCCTGAGCTCATAATAAGCTGGCCCAGCTTCCCCCGAGACATCGAGACCACATTTTCAGACTGTTTTGGCGAGGTGGATCGATGTCCAGTAAACTGTGAGAAGAGGAATCGCAATGTGCCTCTTATTGCTCCCAAATACTACCAAGTTTTGCCAGGCAACATGAAGAACCTATGGCTATGGCGTTTCCTGCCTCTGGCGCTCCGTAAGTATCCACTCCGTCAACGGCGGTGGCACCGAGGCTCTCATACTGATGATCAGCGATCAATTTCTAGTGCTGCTGCAGGCGCTCGTGGTTGAATCGAAAGTTCAGTCAGAGAGTGGTCATACATCAATAGATGTGACTTCCGGAACATATCAGCATGGAAGCCAATATGCGGGTGAAGCTGAGGGGTCTCACATTTGGCCCGGACATGGTAAGAAGCTATTGATGCCAATGTGTGAACATGACTGAAGGGCAACTGACATTGTCTGCCTATAGAACGTGTCGAAAACGCGCTCAGAATCCTCCATGGAATAAAGATTTCGACCGCCCGATCTGAGAAGCCCTCGGGCCTCGTCGGGTATGCCTTACATTACGCCCAACAGGCGTTCCGCATCCTATTCATGAATGCACCTCAATCGGACACAACTGAGAAGCGGAGAGTCGATCCGAATGTCGTCAAAGCCGTGAAAGAACTCAAGCTGGCTGCCGAGGAGGATGAGAACCCCGATGCGATGTTCCTATTAGCGGAAATGAACTTCTATGGCAACTTTACACATCCGCGCGATTTCAAGCGCGCTTTCCAGTGGTATCAGAGCCTTGCTTCCTTGACTGGAAACAGTACAGCACAATATATGCTCGGTTTCATGTACGCCACTGGCATCGGGAACGGGGTGGAGCGCGACCAGGCGAAGGCATTGTTGTATCATACGTTTGCTGCGGAAGGAGGGGACACGAGGTCGGAGATGACGCTGGCGTATCGCCACCACGCTGGTATCGGGACTCCCAGAGACTGCGATCAAGCGACGTATTACTACAAGAAAGTGGCGGACAAGGCGATTCAGTGGTATCGATCTGGGCCGCCCGGTGGCTATAGCATGGCTCGTGAAGCTTATCGGTGGGCGGACGAGGAGGGTGGCGTTTATGGCGAGGGTGCCAGTGTCTCGAGCTCAGGGCCTAACGCACAGCGTGATGGGGTCCAGTCTAGTACCGAGGCCAGCTTGGAGGACGTTCTGGAATACCTGGACCTCATGTCGCGTAAGGGGGAGCTCAAGGCCACGTTTAGTTTGGGGAAGCTACACTACGATGGGGCGCGAGGCTTGCCTCGGAATTTCCGAAAGGCAATGAAGTACTTCAAGCAAGTAACGAGACGTTACTGGAACAAGGACGGGTCAGTCAATCCCAATCACCCCATGGGGATCGATAAACTTGCTTCGAAAGCAGCTGGCTACGTTGGAATGATGTACCTGCGCGGCGAAGGCGTCGAGCAAAATTTCAACAACGCTCTTACCTGGTTTAAGCGGGGACTGGTCAACGGCGACTCGCTGTGTCAGCACGAGATCGGACTCATGTATCTCCATGGGTATGGCGTCCCCCAGGACGCCTTCAAGGCCGCTTCGTATTTCAAATCGGCTGCCGATCAGGACTATCCAGCATCGGAGACCAGACTTGGCGTTCTATTCCTGGATCAGGGGGATGTTGCCACAGCGACACGGTATTTCGAGCTGGCTGCTCGCTGGGGGTCCATGGAGGCCTTCTACTACCTGGCGGAGTTGTCGAACAATGGCATCGGCCGGCAACGACATTGTGGCATGGCCGCATCGTATTACAAGCTGGTCGCAGAGCGTGCCGAAGCGATTCATTCGTCGTTTGCCGAATCAAATGCCGCGTATGAGAATGGCGATAAAGAAGCGGCTTTGATCCCAGCCATGATGGCTGCAGAGCAGGGCTACGAAAGCGCTCAAGCAAATGTAGCATTCCTACTCGATGACCAGCGCTCATTGTTGTCGCTCGACACCATTCTACCTGGGGTTAAGAAGCCTCGTCCGTCTCTCCTTCGGAACGCTGCTCTAGCGCTGATCTACTGGACACGTTCGGCGAAACAGGCGAATATCGACTCGCTGATCAAGATGGGTGACTACTATCTCAGCGGATCTGGCATCGGAGCGGACCCTGAAAAAGCTTCTATTTGCTATCATACCGCTGCTGAGGCCCATTACAGTGCGCAAGCCTACTGGAACCTTGGCTGGATGCACGAGAATGGAGTCGCCGTGGAGCAAGACTTCCACATGGCCAAAAGATACTATGACTTGGCGCTCGAAGCAAATGCAGAAGCTTATCTGCCTGTGAAATTAAGCCTGATAAAGCTGCGGATGCGCAGTTATTGGAACAAGATTACGAATGGAAAGGTCAACTCCATTCAAGAGGAAGAAGGTAGGATACCCGAGATGATTTAACCGCTTACACCTGTTTACATGCTGACCGGATACCGCAGAACAAAAGCCTCGACGGACATTCAAAGAGTGGATTGCAGCGTTTATTGAGAACAACGAAGAGGAGGAGGCCAGCTATCACTCACAATTGTACAAGCATGCGGAAGATGAAGATGACATGCTATCTTCGAATCCAGACGCACGCCCTCTTGATGAACACCGTCATGACGACGGTTACTATGATGACCTCGAACTCGACATTGATGAGAGCGTCCTGGAAGGCCTCATTATTGTCACCTTGGCCGCCACATTACTTGTACTTGTATACTTGCGGCAGCAGCGAAACAGGCAAAGGCCGAACGAGAATCCAGGTGCCAACCCAGCAGCAGTGAACAATCAAAACGACCGCGGGTTTTTCCCGCAGCCAGGAGATCCGGAGTTTGCTCAGTGGGTTGCCGGTGGTGTCGGTCATTAATAAACGGGAAGCATCTGCAGGAGTTCATCTAATTGTACATTCTCTTAAGCACTATTTCATGCTCATAGAATCCTCGTAGATGTCTAAAAATCAGCATCTGTTATCTTATCGGGTAGAAGCTCTTATCGATAAGCACCTTTTGATCAACTTCTCCAGACGACCCAGGAGTGCATTCTGCAATCAATCCCAAGCCAAAGTGAACCTTTTTCGAATCGGCAAGCCATATGTGAGGATGTGATACGATGCAGAAGTTGAACGCCCTTGCTTGAAAATGTCCTCTCTCAACCTGAACGGAAAGCGACGTCGTATAGAAGGTGCCGCTTCTTCACTATCGAAGCCGTTCAAGTCACCTCTCCGCAAGCCAGTGCAGGGCACTGTGGATAAGGAGAAAGCATGCAACAATTCTTCCAACAATACTGAAGCTGAAGGACAGGCAGGACAATATGTAGATGGGAAAAATGCTCAGGAACATCTTACGCCGTCGGCTTCCATATCTTCTAAACCAAATTATCTCACAAGCTCATCTCCCGCCTCGCCAGTCCCAAATTTGCAGAATCGAAAACGAAAATCTACTACAAAGCAGATGACTCCATTGAAGAAGAGCTTATTAGTAGATCCTGTCATCTCGGAGCTTCAAAAGGAACAAAGAGCTCTACAATCCAGACTCTCTGCTCTCCGCTCTGAACTCGATACCGTGAAGCAAGCTCTACGAATTGAATCATCGACGAAAGATGCCGAGCTCGAAGCTCTGATCCTCAAATGGAAAAATGTAAGCCAGGAAGCCGCTGAAGAGGTTTTCGAAGGAGCTCGAGAGCGGGTCTCTCGGATGGGGGGTATGAAGGCTTGGAGAGAGCGGATGAAGAGCGACAGCGCGAGGTGGGAACAGGAGGAAATGAATTCGTGGTATGGCAATGCCGAAGCGGAGGGGTTTGAGATGGATGAAGAGAAACTGGAGCAGCGGAAAGCTGAGCTCCTTGATGAAGTTGAGATGTCCCGAAAGGAACAGGAGGTGGGTACTGGGGGAGAGACGGCTGAGGACGAGGTATGCTTGGATGGGATGTCGCTTTGACTGGACGAAGAGGATGCTAACACAATATGCACAGGAATTTACAATGGACATTATGCTGAAGACGCTGAATATCGACTTGAAGATGATCGGATATGATAAGTCGACTCAACAATGGATTAAATCATGACCTCAATGACTATTATATGGTGGCGTCGTTCAGAGATCTATGTCCTAGGTCTGTGTTTGTATGAGTACGAAGCCTTCTGGACCGAGACCTGGCTCATACGGGGTTTTTATCATCGAAGTGGTCTACATGCAGTTTTCGAGTCAATGGGTTTCCTCTCTTGTTGCATGCTTCCGCTTCGTATCCTTCCAAGATCACCCGTCCCTTTGACCTGGTTATTGTCTTTGACCAGATAGGGAATGCCTTACAGAGGTCTGACTGGCAAACCCGTGGCTCGCGAGCATGGGAAGCGGTTGCTTCTTCGAAGACAGATGGACTCAGAATCGGGATAGCACTGAAAATGAGACTGGAAGCGTCAAATAGTCTGATCTGCTGGAGGTATCGGGCTACTAAGTCCAACACTCGTAGTCCATCCCGAACTCAGGGCGTGTTGAAGATCCGAGATGCTAGCATCGATGAGGCTGAATGTCTCTGCTGTGCTTCTTAGTTCTTTGCCAATGTTCTTCGCCAGTAACATCCCTAGGGACCAATCCAATCAAGAAGACTTACAGACCCCATTGCAGCCATAGTCCATTCTCTCGATTCGAGGCTATCACTTCAGTATCGTACAAGGCTACAAGTGCCGACGCCCTACGACACCAATCCAATCGGCCATCTCGGTCTGMGTGTTGAGAATCTTAGTCCCGCCAACTGAGGGGATAATCGGACTTTTTCCCGCTGATTACCTGGACTAGCCATCTTCGTGCGGAGAATGGAGCTTGGCAATTGGCTTATAACAACGATAACAAAGGACGATCTGTGCGCCAAGAGATAGAGTCCTTGCGTGTTATCTACCAGCAGCTGATAACAGTATACTCCGCAGTATCTTCTCAGTCATACTTAAGCTATCTGAAACTACGGCAGGGAGGATCCCTATGGGAATGGGTAGATCGAAGTTGTGAACTTTAGACATTACGCCGTTTACTTGCACTCCTTGCCAGTTGATCTTGCAACCATGACTGATACTAAGAAAGCTGAGCTGGACGTGCGACGCTCCGACAGTCTGGAGAAAAAGGATGATATTTCACCTGGGACGATTCGAGACATTGGAGCAGACCTCTATGCGGAGGTGGAGCAATTATCGCCAGAGGAACTGGAGGAAGAAGGGATCAGAGTACGGAAGATGTTAGACCGCAGGATCTTGCCGATTGTATGCCCCCATCGGATCCACGGCTAATCGCTGTGTATGAGTCACTGACAGTTCGCCTCCTCAGCTATACTTAACCTATGTAATGCAATTTCTGGGTTAGACATGCTGCTTCACTTGGACGATGCTCGAAAAGACCCGCTCATTTGTGATGCATAGACAAGCTTTCGCTCAACTACGCCTCCGCTTATACTCTCATTCCAGATCTCGGTCTAGAAGGCCAGAGATATTCTTGGGTTGCTGCTATTTTCAACTTTGGGTATCCTAGACCTTTCCTCATACAGTGGAGCCGACTTCGCTGACCCGATAAGGTACCTGTTCTGGGCAATCCCGGCGAATCTCCTGATTCAACGATTGCCCCTAGCGAAGTATATGGGTGGAGTCATCATGATTTGGGCCGGCCTCGTTATTGCGCATATCGGCGCTAAGAATTATGCGGGTATCCTAGTCTTGAGATTCCTGTTGGGCATGGCAGAGGCATGTGTAAGTCCGTGCAGTAAGTTCCTATAAAATTGGTCATCCACCACCTCGGACTCGGAGACTGACCAACGCAGTGATGAACTTCACTTCTATGTTCTACAAGAGATCCGAACAGCCCCTGCGCATGAGTATCTGGCTCTCTGGCAACGGCATGGCCACGATGATCGGAGCGCTACTCGGTTTCGGACTGGGCCATTCTCATAATACCAAACTTCATAGCTGGCAGCTCATCTTCCTCACGATCGGTCTGATGAACTTCACCACTGGTTGTCTCTTCCTCTGGCTGATGCCCGACTCACCGAGCTCCGCAAAGTTCCTCACTCACCGGCAACGTGTTGTGGCTGTTCAGCGAGTATCAGAGAACATGATCGGGGTCAAAACCAAGCAGATCAAGCCGCGTCAGGCCCTCGAAGCATTATATGACCCCAAAGTCCTCTTCTGCTTAGGAATTGGAATTGGCTGCGGCGTCATCAACGGCGGCGTATCGAACTTCGCCTCCGCGCTCATCAAGGGTTTCGGCTTCAGCGGCATCTACGCAACCCTTCTCCAGCTCCCCACGGGGGCCATCGAAGCCGTCGTGGTGCCCATCTGCGGCCTGGTCTCGACGTACGTCCGCGACTCGCGCTGCCTCGTCCTCGCCGTGGTATGCCTCATCCCGTTCGGCGGTCTCCTCGGCATCCGATTCACCAGCCTCGACCACAGATGGACTCTGGTCGGCTGCACCTGGCTGCAGTACATCATCGGCGCACCAGTCATTGTGTCTTGGAACCTCTTAGCGACAAATGTCGCTGGACATACCAAGCGCTCGATGGCCAATGGCATGTGGTTCACCATGTACGCAGCAGGCAACGTCGCCGGCGCCAACATCTTCTTCGCCCGTGAAGCGCCCCGGTACCACTCCGCTTTGACAGGTCTGCTAATCTGCTATGCTGGCATGATTGTCCTAGCACTTTCGTCATATCTATACATGAAATGGGAGAATCTGCGGAGAGATCGCAAGGCGTCGCCGGAAGACAGTCCCACGCGGCGTGAGGAAGCCGCCATTCTTGATGGGTTCAAGGACTTGACCGACATGGAGTCAAAGAACTTTCGTTATGCGTTATAAGGCGTTGACTGGAGATGTTCAAAGGACCATTCAGTTCATTTGTACGCCGTCTTTTCATGATAATTGTGTTCGTTGTGTTTGATGCTGGCCTCTATTGAATTTCTAAAATTGCCCCAGTCAGAAAACAAAGAATGGGACAGTGGAGACTTGCGGACTGCAGGCTAAATGCAGAGTGGGGCAGTGGATCCAGGGGCTTGCCACGTGATAATAGATGCGGAGCAACGCATGTGGCACGGAGCAAAGTCCATGTCTGATACGGAAACACATTAGGTGGAATTGGAAAGTACGATTATCCAATGATTGGTGACTGCTCTTCTGAGTGAAAATGGATGTGATGAAAGCTCCCTTAGATTTTGTGAAATCACTAATTGTTGGTTATGTACATGCAACATCATCCTAAGCTTCATTTCATACAGTCCCTCAACCTAGGCCTTCTCGATGTACTGGTCGAAGATCTCGCGGATGACCTTGGCGCTCTTCTTGGGGATTCTCTTTTGGTTGTTCTCGTAGTCGACAAAGGTGACGCCAAATCTGGTCTCGTAGCCTTCGGCCCATTCGAAGTTGCTACACGGGGAAGACGATCTGTCAGCCAGTTGGTTCGGTACGTCTGAATGTAAGACAAACTTACTCCATCAAGCTCCACGCCATGTAAGCGCGGACATTGACACCGTCCAGCGTGTAGGCATCCGCCATGGCGGCGATATAGTCGCGGAAATATTGCACACGGAACTCGTCGTTCAGGATCTGGTCCACGGGCAGGTCATTCTCGCCCTTGAGACTGGTGCCATTCTCGGTAACGTAGATCTTGGGCTGGTTGTAGCGGTCGCTTAGCCATTTCAGCAGTTTCCGGAACCCAATGGGTTGGGGTCGCAGCCAGGGTGACTGTGTCTCAGGACCGATCCATTCGCCGTTCTTGTTCTGCAGGAGGATCTCCAGGTTGCCGGCGACGTCGTCCGGGTCCGGCTCGCCTGTCTTGGCTTTGATGTAGTTGGCACAGTAGTGGTTCATGCCGTAGAAGTCGTTGCTGCCGTGGACAAGGGCGATATCTTCGGGGGTCCAGGTGGGCAAGCGGTCACCCAATTGTTTGATCATGCTGTCTGGGTACTTGCCGTGATAGATGGGATCAGCAAACCAGGAGATAGCGAACTCGATCTTGCGATCACAGGCCTCGATGTCCGCGGGATTTTCGGGATCCCAAGGCTCAGTCCAGTCACCTGGAATTTGATCAGCAACTACACCATTAGGCAATGCGCACGGAGGCCAGAACTCGTACCATTCAATGTGATGCCAATCTCACCACCGTCTCTGGGCTTGAATTCTTCTCTGTAAATCTTCACCGCCGCTCCGTGAGCGACAAGGATATTGTGGCCGACGATCCAGGGCTCGCGCGAACCGTCGCCCACAGGACTTTTGGTACGGTCGCTGGTCCTGCCAGGGGCGAACTGGCCCACATTGTATCCGAGCACGCTGCTGCACCAGGGCTCATTGAAAGTAATCCAGTACTTTACTTTTGAGCCGAAAGCATTGAACATTATGCGAGCATAGTTGGCAAAATCGGCAACAAATTCTTCCTTGTTCAGAAGGCCACCGTAGCGCTTGTCAAGCGCATCGGGGAGATCCCAGTGGAAGAGGGTAACGAGGGGAGTAATACCCGCCGCGAGTAAGTCGTCGACGAACTTGACATAGTGCTGGAGACCCTTTTCATTGACAGGGTCATTCCGGCCACCGAGAGGGATGACACGAGACCTGCATTTACGATCGAGATGGGGTTAGCCGAAGTCCGTTCTCTCAGGCTGTGCAAAGACGCACCATGAGATAGAAAAACGGTATGCCTTTGCACCACACTCCTTGAGCAGGGCAATATCCTCGTGGGTGCGGTGGTACGAGTCGCAAGCCACCTCACCAGAGGCTCCACCGGCTATTTTGCCGGGAATTTTGCAAAATGTATCCCAAATAGACGGGCCTCGTCCATCTTCATCCACAGCTCCCTCAATCTGGTAGCTAGATAACGAAATAAGGGCGACAATTAGTTAAAGCCCAGTAAAGAGAAGACTTAAGATCGGTGACATACCTCGCAGTTGCGAATCCCCAAAGGAAGTCCGGAGGAAGAGTCGAGGTAGTGGTAGATCCCATGACGAAATGGATATCGAGGGAATGGTTCGAACAGCTTTTTTTTCCGTTCAGTGGATGGGACAGCTACTGAAAGGAGCACGGCTATGTCTTAGAATTTTTCTCCAGAGCGTCAGAGAGCACTGGACGGATATTTAAGTCTGTCTTCCTCGCATCTCGAGAGCTGCTCTCCATCGAGCGATGGAGGGGTGAGCGGGGAACCGCCTTGGGGAATCAACGGACTGCATCATAGTTCACCCAGTCACCAGTTCTTTGGTCCCACCATTCTACAGTATAGCTCCCAAGAGTGGAAGATCTTGTAAATAGTTCAGGAGGCGAACGCTGCGCCCAGAGGAATGCTGGTGTGGGGCGCGGAAGATTAATGGCTATCGTTTAGCATAATGATGGCGGGCTGACATTCGGCCAGTTGGTGCCTGGCGGGGCATTGAGGCACTGCAACAGCAACGGCTCGACGGGCCGTCAACCGATTGACGGTACCTATATTGGACTTGTTGGAAGTCTTGCTATACATAATTGAGACGTATTGCTTCAACAGTAGTAAGAAGGACGTAGTGACATATCTGTGCTGGCTCCGTCAAATATCATACATAGCTATACCCATAATGGTCCCATGACTCCCCTAAGATGCTCATCGCTAGAAAACACATCAATGCCTTTGCCAAAGTGACGCCCATCCGGTAGTAGAAATAGAAAAGTAGTACATAGTCATTGAAGTCATATGGTTGGCATGTCCGCTCCTGCACGGTACTTTCCCGTGGTGCAGGGCCTGAATGAACTGGGAGTCCAAGGTCATACAATCTCCATTCCATCCACATCGTCGCCTTCCAGATCATCCACGTCGTCAGTCATAACGCCTCCAACAGAAGGCCGGGATCGCTTGCTATCCCTGCTGAGATCAAGCCCCTCCGCTCCTAGAACACCCACTAGCTCTAGTTCGGGCCCGGCAACAATCCGACCTTCCATGTCGACCACCTCGCACAGCTCGATCAAGCTCTGACGACTGAGGGACTTGAAGCCGTCGGTCCGGACAATGCGACCCCAGTGGCTGAGGCAAAATTGTGCGGCGCGCCGCATCAACCAATCTTCGTTGGTCCGCCCAGCCCGTTCCCAGATGATGGCCGCGTTCTCCACATCTAGCTCGCGGCTCAAGCGATTCACGCAGAGCAGGCGCAGTTTTGGCATGTCGTACAGGTTCGCCATGACGAGCATACCTGCAACGTCGATGATGCTGGAGCAATATTCAGGGTGCCCTGATATGCTGTCTGTGTATAGATAGTAGAGGAAAGCACGGACAACAGAGTATGGTTCCGGAATGTGCATTCTCTTAGAGTGATATTCTGCCATTTGCGCGGAATATAGTCGCTTGAAATGCGGCCACCGAAGCTGCAGTATGATGCGATGTACATGAATAGGAGGCGAAGTGGGAGCATTCGCGGGCAGGAACGCCGGCTGAGACTCCGTTGGAGGAGCATCTTCTGCCATATCGTCCGGATATTCGAGGTCATCCGGATTTGCAGTGATGATGAAGTCAGCATCACTGCCAGATTCTGGAGGTTGGTCGAAGACAGCGGAGAGATCCACACCAAGCCCAGAAATGGGCGGAAGTCCTGACCTTTCGGATACCAAAGCCCGGCTTTGATCGGGAGAGAGTGTCGCCAGTTCATTGCCAAGCAAACCGAACTTTTCCAGGTCAATGCAAAGCACTTCGCTCATATGATTCTCATCACTGTTGCCAGGAGCGGCGCCAACATCAAGGCTGCATCCCAGCAGCCAGGCTTTGGTGCCACTAGCGTTGACTGTACAATAATGCCAGCGGTACCCGGGCTTGAAAATCTCTTGCCCATCAGCTAGTTTCTGCCAACGAAGAGTGTCAAGCTCCAAAGATGATAACTTGCACTCATACGTCCTGACTGTTTCGGAAGGTGTGATCAGGTCGAGGAGGACGCCAGATGCATGAGCCTGAAAGTGGGTTCCAGCAGACAATGCAGGAACATAAGGACCGGATCGAAACTTATGACAAGAGATAGCTCCTGGGGCGATTGGCTTTTTTCGACCGGAGTTGCGAACTTGTACACTCCCAGAATTCGCCGCGTAGCTACCGGACCGGCCGGGCAGCTGCTGAGTTGAACTACTATACACCGTGTCTGGACTATGAGTCATCCTGTTGAGTATTCCGGGGGGATCCACGGTACCTTGCGAAGACGGGGTTCCAAGAAACGGCGAGCCCTTAAGATCAAGCCACCAAATATCAGTTGTACGTTCCATATCCGGGTCGAGGCCTCCAAATATCCAAAGACGGTCCCCCCAAACCCAGGCGGTGTGGTCGAAACGAGCTGTGAATCTCCAAGTTCGGGACCAGGTCCATGTTTTCAGGTCAAGGTAGCATAGATCATCGAGAATCACATTGTTCTCTCCAGTAACACCGCCTATGACGAAAAGCTTTTCGTCGTGAATGACAGCAGCATGGCGCGCCCTTCCCCGCGGGATTTGTCCACGAACTTCCGGTTGAGTCCAGGTCGAAGTGGGGATATCAAAGATGACGATATCAGAAAGGTATTCGCGGTGTTCGTTTTCTCCCCCGAAGACAATGAGTTTGTCACCTTGATATAGAGTAGCAGTGTGTCCTATAAAGAGTATTGTAAACGAATTAGAGGAATTCAAGAAAGGCATCTGGTATGAATCGACCAACCCATGCGAACACCTGGAATATCGCCATAGTTATCCACAAGTTCCCAACGAAGTGCTTTCAAGTCTAACCTCAGAACATGGTTGTAAACTATTTGAGTTCGAACGTTAGCATGAGAGATGATGCAGAGGTTCAATTAAACTGATAGGATGAAATCAGTATCAACCTTCGTCTGTGAACTGAT